GCAGTGGAATCCAGGGCGCGCGTTTCGTCCTATTTGGGACTCATCAGCTTGGTGTACCTGCATCTCAGAGTTGATGTTCACTTTGGGACTCGAATCCAATAGCGTTCGCTTCAAATACTATCGCGTTATCCGCTTAGCTACTGAGTCCTGATAGCCACTCGTTTGTGTAATGGGGTGAAATTTAAATTCACTTGGTATTGTTTACTTGAATCTTCCCATCGCACAAGCAAGTGGCTATCAGGACTCAGTAGCTAAGACGATAATGCGGTGGTGTTTGAAGTGAACGGTACTACGTCCGGGTCCCAGCGTGAACATCAATTCTGAGATGCAGGTACACCCAGCTAACGAGTCCCAAATAGGACAGAACACGCGGCCTGGATTCCACTAATAGTCACTTTCCATCTTTGCTTGTTACGCATTTTTTTCATTCTCAAAAAACGTAATTCAACGAAATATAAACAATGATTAGTACAAATTTATATTCTGTGCCAGTTTTACAACAAATAAACTGAAAATGTTAGAAAAATAAATACAAGCCGCCAATCGTATCGTCTAATATAAGGAAACGTTTTTTCTTCATATGAAACTAGTTTAATCGGGATCAAATGTCGAGCACCAGATGGTCAATAGGTTTTTTTATTGGTGGTACAAGTGTGTTTATGATTTCTTATATATTGATTTCGTCGGATGTTCTTGCCACCATGTATAGTGCACTATAATAAATCTTCCACCTGACAAGATATACACAAATTTGACCTATTTTCTGGAATTTTAGATGAAATCTGTTAAATACAAATTAATTTTATAAAAATTTCATTTGGGTGAATATAAAACACAAGCTGCTCCAGAATTGCATGAAAGACTTACATTCACGGAACAGTAAAAAAGGAATTTATGCTAAAATGTGTTTAGTGTGAGGTAATTAGGGATAAAAATTCATTTCAACATTCTAATAAAAAAAACCTAGGTTATGTAATGGGTCACCAAAACACAGATTTTTCACAAAAGACGCTGTTCTTTTCATACGTTAATTATATGTAGACAGCCATTTCGAAAGTTGATCATTCAGTGAGATTCATATTTATTTCAGAAAATAAGATATTTTAATTTCCTGACTACTTGTTGGATGCACACAAATAATGAGAAAATCGGTATTCACTATCATTTAGCGTTGGTGGGAGCGTAGATTAAAAGTACAACAGTTTTATTGGAAACATTTCGTAATCAATGCTGGTAAACTAGATTTTTCCTCAATGTGTCAGAATCAGGATGAACGATATTATACATTTGTGATAAAATATACCTTAAGACCCTTATTTATAATTTGATTAATATTTCGAAGTTTGAATAAATAGTGAAATGCAACGAATGTGCATGAGGAGTGCTAATATTAATATAATATACTATCAGAATAAGATGGATTTGACGAGAATTAAGCTTAATAGTGATGCGACCACTTTTGATGCCATGCTAATAGAGTTCAACACTTTGAAAATAGTCACGTTTATCGCTTACGAAGGATGTTAGTTTAGAAACCTTCAGTATCACTAGTTCGTATTTTGAATGATAACATTATTTAAAGGTACTTCTTGATGTATTGTTTGAGGATTTAAAGAAGTTGGATCAATACAAACATCTATCATGCGTTAACTAAACTATCAATGCTGTGGCTACATTGAGATATGATCCTCAGCAGAATGAAGCAATCAAACTTATGACACCATAACCTTATAGGACAATCAAACAGCAGTGCTTTCAATACGAAAGCAGTTACCTAACTAAATTTTACCAACTTTGTAAACAACGAACTACTTAGAACAAGGAACTTAACAGACTAGACACGAGTCTGGTTTAATTTTCTTGTGAGTGATATCTACTATTTGAAAACAGATTTCAACTTTTATGTATTCTTAATTGACTGTTGTAAAATACGGATGATCAAACAGATGAATAAATCACATGTTATATCGCGACTTATAATCGATTATATGATAAAATAAACTTCATGGTTAATTTTATATCTAAATCAAGGAAATTCCCTAATTAGTGAGTAGAAAATAAACTTTGATTCTAACATCAGTTTTGTATAAAGACATATTTAACTATATGGCTTCAGCTTTAGAAAATCCTGTTACGCGTTAGTAACAAGAGTAAAGACGGATAAATTCTGTAAGAAACTGCTACTAATAATAAATTTATGAAGAACTTTTCCTGGAGCACCCTAACCAACAAGTGAACATAAGAATTCACTTGACTTTGAAGAGATTGTTCGACAAAGTGATACCACGTCAATTTGGGGTTCTTAATTGGTTGGTCTGGAGACTAACAGTTAAAAAATTAATAAGGAAATGTTAACGTAACGTAGCAGTTTTGTATGTGAATATGATGTTTTCTAGATAAAACTATACATTTTGGAAATGCATCAGGTTTAAAATGGGATTTCGAACATATGACTACTGTATGAGGAAAAATATGGTGGATGGATAATAAAAGCTATTGCATGAAATAATCCTTAACAGAGTACGCAATTTAAGCCCGAGATCTTGAATTATTAGTGAGATTAGTCTATTAATACTGAATAAGCTAACTTGCTGACAAACTCAGCCCGAGCATTCATAATGAATGGTTTTGACAAAAATAGGCAGCAGTAACGGCCATAATTAAATGAATTATACCCAAGTATTCCAATTAGTTCCCCATTAAAAATAAGCTCTATATTAAGAGTAACCTTGTATTTCTGGTTTTTTAACCAGCTAGTCGACATGTAAGCTGGGTAGGTGTGTGTGAGCAAAATGAATGAAATAAACAAGTTGAGGAATAAACAATAATAAATAACGAGAAAACAACCAAACAAATACGAGGTTACAGATAAATTGTTGCACGTAAATTTTTTAAATATAATATATTCAGTCATGGTTAATCTTCCTAATCAAATAATACTTAACAACAGAAAATACAAGAAACATAAAAGATCCGTTAGTGAACCTGTTTTGACCTTTTTTTTGTAGGAAACAAAATAACAACAACGGAACAAGTAAATAATCAGAAAAGCAGACAAACAAATGTAACAGGTAAACATAGCATCACCGAGAGAAGACTTCGCACTGAAATCACGATTTTTATCGGCGTAGAGAACAAACCAACATTTAATTAGAGAGGAATATTAAGGGAAAACAGACTCGGTTACAAATAGGCGCCTATCAAACAGACTATATTCAATGATTAAGACACCACTGTAGTGGTCGTCGAATAATATAAAGCATTGGATTTAGCTTACTGGCCGATTCTTTGTTACACATAAGTTTATTATAAACATAAGTACGTACGTATAATTAGGGAAAGTGATGTTTTTCTTCGTAGTAACACATTAAATGTGCAACTGTTTTTAGAATAAAATAATATATTCTTAGAATAAAGAAAAATATATAAAGGTCAAAAAACAGATGTATTGAATTTAAGTTTAATGGAAGCATACAGTAAAAACTGAATGTAGATATAAGAACAGAAATAAATATGTGAAGGTTTGTTACTTCAAACGAAAGATGCTGACAAATTGACTAGGAAAGTTAAAATAATATCACGAATACTGTCTCTTGTTGAACGCTGAACACTTATATCTTCAATTTATTTTGGTGGGAAAAGGTTCATGAACGTAACTCATGTACATTCGAACCTATATAAACCAAGAAAGTAAGACACAGAAATCCTAAATATCATAATTTCCACTGAAATAAATATAAATGGTTAATTACTTTTATGGGGAAGATTATAAGATATTCATTATGACAGGTACAAATACAAAAGTTTAAGAATCTAAAAGACAAATAACAGGAATAAGATATAATAATTCGAAATAAATTATTTGTCCAGACCACAACGATGATTAAATAAATTGGGCTTGACAAACAATCGTACGGAGAAGGTTAAAATTTTACCAGGACGAAACGACGATAATGATAAATATTATTAAATTTAATAAGTACGAAGCAGTGAAAGACATGCATGCTTATTTGGAAAGCATAGTATGTAGCAATAATTGAAAGAAAAGCATAATAAAACACAATGTAGAAACCAAAAATAAGCAATTTGAAGTGGAAGGAATCAAATGTACGAATAACATTTACGAAATTATAATCAGTTCGTACTATTCATCAGTTAATTGAAGATAAACATAGAGATTTGAACGCGAAGATAAACAAAAATACAGAACACAAGAAAAGCATCACAGTCGATAACGAATAATGGTAAAAGTGTGAACTATGTAAACTGAAGACTTTTTGCATGGACTTTATTCTTTTTAAAACAAGCCATGAACAAAAAAAATCATGAGATAGTCCAGGAAGAATACTCAGAAAATAAAAAAAACTAAATATAAAGTAAACTGAGATACGAAGAGGGGTAAAAAGTGAGTAGAGAATGAACGTAGATCATAAGTTGCAAAATGCGCATTAAAAGTAGCATATTGTGTTTTCCCTGTTTGACAGGTAAGCAGATGTTATAGCCTGATAAGACAAGTATTCATAACTTCAGTGATGTATTATACAAGTAATCGTTCGTGCACAAGTTCCAACAATCATTAAAATTTGTAACAACAAACATAATAAAGTGGTATACCAATCAGAATTCTTTACATAGAAACAACTTAATATTTTTGTCTTGTGGGTAAGTGGTGGATCAGTATTAACAGAAAGAAATCTCGTATTACTTGAGTATAAACTAACAACAAATGAGTAAAGTGGAATGTCAGCTATTTAATCGCACGCTTAAAAATATCAGAGAATATCAGTGAATAAATAAGTTAAATCAACGAGGATATAAAGCAAGAATTTAATTGCACATACAAGTTAACCATTAAGATAAGTGAACATTTGACCAACTAAGTAACCAGATTTTGCATTATAAAATCGAACTGCAAAACTAATGTGCATATCAACATGAGCAAAGAAACGAAAAAAATGAATAGGTTTATATTTTCAATCAGATAAACCTGGTTTTATTGATTGGATAAATTGCATGTTGAAATTTTAAGAAAGAAAAAATACGCAAAAAGACAAACGGAATTGATTCAATATTAAAGCATAAAATTTCTGATAGTATATGTATACATATACTTCCTTGTTTCAATATCTCTCATGATCTGAGCAATATTATTTTGACTCTAAAGTGGATAGTTGAAACTAGCTGATCCAGTTGTACTAATATTTGCGAATCCACCACCACCTGAGCCTGCTGATAAACAAGAACGATGTACATGGACATTCTGCCAGCCACGATCATTACGTCTTACCCAAACACGGGTTTCTTCTGTTTGTTGTGTATGGGGCATACCACATCTATTTATAGAAAATAGTAAAATATGGTTACAGAAAAAAAGTTACTACTATATCGCTTAAAGATGTTTTTCAGCTAAGAAAAATATGCAAGGATAACTCACTTATCTAGGAACTGAGTAAGTCTTGTGTAGGCAATACAAGCTGCATCTTCACCCATTAAATGTACAGTCGGATTCAGTATACTGGTATGAATAGCACGAACAACTGATTTCGGAATGACTAGAGAGAAAGTTGAGCAGTAAAATAAGCACTTAGTAATAATAGGATTATAAGGTTGATAAATTACTACGTAGTCTTCTTCAAAAACGAAGTTTTAGGATTAGTCTGATTTAATTATATTTTGTGTTGGAATTTGCTCTCAAGAATAAAATTTAAATATGATGTATTAAAACTGTTATCAAAAGGGTCTCTTTATCATTATCCTAATAAAGATAATTAATTGAATCGAGGAATCTTACTAGCCTATTCGTTCGTTACCCTCGGAATTTGATGCATTTATCTGGCATTTAATAACGGTTCTCACACACGTCTAACTTTAGAGTATTATTATGAAAAGGAGTTAGTTGACGTTGTGAAACTTCTACTTTCCATACAACGTTGCTCAATTACAGCATAGCAAATAAATCGCTTGTTAAAAATCGTTATACGAAAAAATTGGTATTTCTGACAAAGAAAAGCCACAGAGCTCATATGTTTACAAATAAACGCTCGATCCCCAAAATAATCGCTTTTGTTACTGACAAACGGAACTGCAAAACAAAATATGTATTCATTTTTTATTGCTTGTTTGGAATTACCCACTGATGTTTAGAGCTACAATTGATCAATCTATTATTGGCGTATGCGCACCCTGCGTGGATTGCCTTAATATTGTCTACAATCATTATGAGCGAACAAGGATGGCGGCTAGCAGTGGAATACAAATATGATGAAACGCGCGTCCTGGATTTCACTTTAAGCCAACCATCCGTGTTTGCTCAAATTATGTATGTTTAAGTGATAAAAAAATGAAGATAATGATCCGAACTATTTATGACATGACAAACGAAAGCAACCACGGGACTTCAGCGAATGTGGGTAAACTAAATACACTAACCTACATCATCAAAGCATAAAAGTATGAGAAAATACAGACGAAAGAAACTTACTTTGTTCAAAGTAAAACTTATGGAAATCAGCTCCTTCGAGTAAATTCCCACATGCTTCTGGACCGAAATAGGTGAATTGAGAATCCAAAAATTTACTGAAACAAAATGACAAGAAAAAAGTAATTCACAAACATTTATGCTTATAGTGCTTTATTTGAGAAAAAAACAAAATAAAGAAAATAATCTTAAAGAAGCCCAGTTACCTAGGAGTAAGTAAAACGTCAGCTGTGTAAAATCTTTTTTTAACAAAGTAAGTCTATTATGGGATTTGTTCAACCACAAATTAAAACCAGAGAAATGAGGATCTCGAATAATTGGTTTTACAATCAGTTTTATTACAATAGGTCATTGTACATACTTTTAAGGTTTTTACTAAACAACTACATTCTAATGATTTTATGCAATACTGATTTCAAGCATTCATTTGATCCAGTAATTGTTTTGATATTACTATGTTCTAAGGGTAAGAGCAACTATTTATAAGTATATGTTACTAATTATTGTAGCATAAATGTCTCAGCTGAATGGTTCTTACACGTTTTGACCGACTATATGTTACAGCAATATAATTCAGGAGTCAAAAATTAGAATCGATATTTTATGACTTATCTTGTTTTTTTACACAATCAAAATCAGTATGAAGTTAAGTTGACAAATGTCAACAATTAGTGTTACATTGGTTGTAACACCAACGCAGTTGATGAGAATCCCATACGAAAATCAGAAGTGAAGTAAGAGACTTTTAATTTACAAGTATTTTCATTAAGTTATGCGAAGTGGAGCTATATGAATTTAAAATTTCTGAAAATTATCGTGTGCTCACTAGTGACTAGCTTCGAGAGAGAATTTCCAAAGTCTTAGTGAGAATCTGTCACCAGTGAAGGTAGTCCGTGTCGGGTGTGAATCAGTTACACACTGAAGACAATGTAAGATGATCGCGCAAGTATTGGATTGGTTGGGGTTAGGAATTAACACTATTGGATTCCGACTCAGTGGTATAGAGGTTGAGCGTCCGCACGCGGGAACAAAAGTCCTAGATCCAAATCCCGCGTGAGGGATTGCGGATTCCCACTGATAGGGAGTCCCATACTAAGACGAAAAGACCATTCAATGCTTCCAGGTTTCCGATGGTGGTTTAATTTTGATTGATGAATTCAATGAAACTGAAACTTTTCGATAAGCTTATTGACTGAACATAATGAATCAGTTAATCTTATAAAACACGAAACTTACAGATAGAGTTCGAAGTCACCAGCTGCAGCAGCAGCCAATAGTTGTTCTGTTGCCCGGATGATGTCCTGCTTTTTGCCTGTTTAACGAGAAAAGAATGAATAGAGATCAACTAGGAATCTCGAACCACGATTTTACGTGTATCTACCTTGGGTCAGTGTACACAGTTTCCTAATATTGGTGAGGTTCTTCACTTCAAAAAAACGTGAACTGTTAGTCATCTAAACTAAAAAGTGTAGAACCTGTGCATGAACCTAAGTAACCACACGACATTACTTCAGCGAGAGAAAGGAAGGAAAAATGAACAGTTATGATTCCATACACTGGTAACGTTATAGATACAAAGGAATAAATTAATAAAATATGATTTTAAAAGGAATGAATTCACGGATCGCAAAGTATGGAACAATCCTGAGACATAAGACAAAAGATTAATTATAGTTGCCTCCCAACACTCACCAAGATTGTCGGGTAAATACTAGCCATTTGGTCTGGACTTAGCAACACACAGCTTACACCTGTAGCCAAAAACTTTATGGACTGTGTTAAGTCATACTACGGCGCCCCATAGCTTATATGAAACTCACACTCCGGTCAAGGTTTTACGTAACGGATGACCCAGTGTTAGGATTTCTCTTACTACGTACCAGATACCCCTAATACTGAATATTCATTGACAATATTTCACTCGACAAGTTACAAATATTAGAACAAGGTTGAACAGTAACGTAATTATATTTTAAATGAACATGTTTGAACGGAAGTCGGTATCACAACAAGAAAGACGTTAGTATATTCATAATTTCTACATAACATACCAAATCTTATCCGAGTATCTACAAGCGCTGATTGGTTAAGAAGTAGCTAATCAGCGTGCCTCAACAGTCCTGCACGGAAAGTGACGTAATCTAATCTATATCCCGCTAACAACTAAGAAACTCAGTTGATGAGGACTTACAGACACATTCAAAAGATTCTCCGTACTCACCAAATACCTTATATCTTATCTCGCAGTTCTCTACTAAGTTGTCTTAATGGTACGAAAACGTCCCAAAACTAGAGACATATGGGGCTCACTATTAGTAAAAAATAAATTTATAGACAAAGAAAAAATGTTAAAAAAGGATACTACAATAGATGGGTTACTTTTTACGGATAAAATTTATAATCAATTAATAATGGGACTAATTAAAACAGTTAAATCTTAGGGATATTGAAATGATAATTTTCGATAAGGACACACTAGGTGTTATAAACCTTACAAATCAGTAACTTAAACTTCAAAAGCATCAACTGAAACAAAGCTAAGCATGTATATAAATGTATATAAGACTACCAGGCAATCTTTTGAAAAAGTGTAACATTAGGAAAACAGCCAAAAAACAAATGGCCAGTGTATCAATCATGAAGTGGAAATGAAAGTATTTGGTCGACTACAGATAAATTGGAATATTAATTAACTGGACGCGGTATGTATTAGGTAAGGCAGCAAAGCAACAATATTAAACTACAATACGAAAAATAATAGATTTGTACATTTTAGCAAGCTGATCAGAACAATGAAAAAATACACACACACGAAAAAAACTACGCACTTATTTATTTATATAAAAAATATTAGTGGAATATCGATAGTTGGGTTATAAATCGTTATTGAGTCGATAATGGGTCATGCATATTTTCATAGACAATGCAAAACTCTGGCACATTAAAAGTAGTAATCTCTATGCTGGAAAGATCTATACTGACAGACAAATTTAACATCGAAATATAAATAGGTAGAAAACAAAGACGCAAGGAGTGGAGAATGGAAAGGAGAATTATGAAGCAAATGTATTTCTCAGTAATAATTACACATTCTTCTACATTCACGAACCGCAATACTTTTATATTATTCAGATCGATGTTTCACTGGAATACAATTGAGCGTATGCAAGATATCCTTTTATGATAACTTTCACATATTGAGACAATAATCAAAAGAACCGAAAACATCAATCAAATCGACAAAAAGGAACGTGCACATATAAAAGTAACCATATTATCTTTAAGTCTTTTAAGAAAAATGAGATGAACTCAGATTATATTTGAAAATTGTCCGTATAAATTCGACGTTTCATAGCAATGAAAAGAATTTTCACAGAAACTTAGGAAATATCGATGTAAAGATGAAAACGTATCAAGAAGTTATGATGGGTACATGAAATGCGGAGAAGTATTAAGATTAATAAAATGATTTGCAAAATACAAGTAAATCATCACAGCATTTATTAACAGGTCAATTAAACATGTTCTATTGATATGAAGATTCGAATTAAGTATGGAGAAGTTACGAGTGAGATGTGGAAGTTTTCGCAAAAAAGAATTAAAAACAGGAAGTTTCATCAGCTGCTCTTTATTGAGGGTTGTTAAAATATTGTACACTGGGAATTTCGATGACGCAACAGTTAGAAAAGTATTTGTATTTTAGGTACGCGAATTTGTGAGAAATCTATGTTAGACTATTTGTTATGTTTCGCTAATCGATTGAGTAATTATATAGGTTTCTAACGCCTAATCAGCTAGCCGTACATAGTGAAAAGACTGAAGCTGTGCAGAATACATGATCATCAAAAGTTGAATAATAATGCTCTTAGGTTGTGGATATCAAGAGACTTGTCAAACTGATTGGAATATGTGGTTAGTGAACATAGAGAGCTTGATTATTTAATAAGCAAAATCCATACGATTGATTAAGGAGTCGATTATCTACGCTTAGGATGCTACTAGAAGTGAGTTAAATAGCGCCCTTAACAACAATATTGAATGTTAGGTGTGAAACATGTGTAATTAATATACTAGGAATTATTAGAATATGCGATTGCTGCATTCGGATCGTTAAATTATTACACATAAAACATTCTACAGTTAGTGAATCGCATAATAAACAAAACTGAGTAAATTTTAAATGCAGATAAAAATCATTTTAAGTGTATGAAAAGAATCGTTTTAGAGGAAGCATTTGCTCAACTGTAAACGTTAACACATAAGAAATAAAAAATGACGGGAAAATTGTTTAAAAAAGCCTCTTTGATCTTTTGCATCGTTATACTTTACGTAGTTCAACAACATGATTGAGTTCATATATTCTGCGAGTAAAAGAGAATAGTCTTTAAAACAGAGATTTTATTCAAATTTGATAAGTACATAATTGAATGCCTCTTTAGTGATCTAGTAGCTAATTGTTAACGGCGAGACCGAAAGTATTGGGCTCGATGTCGTGAAAGTCCATGGATACGCAACACTGAGTCTCATATTAGGACGAAACATCTGTCCAGTGCTTCCTAGTTCTACATGGTTTACTAAGATTAGTACGTGATGTAAACTTTAAATTTATATTTGATTATCGTCTTTTTAATCATTAAGACTACTGAAACTATATTGAGTGAGTAATTAATATACCATAGACCTAACAACCAAAGGTATTTATTTTAAGTCAATAAGTTACAGCTAGAAAGCAGACAAGTAAGATGCTAATTAGAGCTGGCACTAGGACAAACAGTGTAAAATTCCAGCCGAAAATTATATATAAAAATGAAGTAGAAATAATCTAGAGACAAAATCATGTATCTATTTTAACTAATAGCTCATATGACAAGGTGAATAGTAAGCATAGTTAGTAGAATTGCAAATGATGAGACACAATTAGGAATTTAGAAAAACGTGAGTAAATCAGATAATTTTACACTTCTACAAGTAATCGATTTCTAGAACAATAAAAACAAATATTGACGCTGATGCGTCTAAAAATGCCTTTAAAAACAAAAATTTTCTAAGTTTCTTACACAGAATAGTTATTTGGACTGAGAACAATTGAGATCTATTTAATTGAAATTTTTTTAAATCTAAATGTAATTCAGTCATTAGATGATTTAATTTATTAAATCACATCACATTTACCGTTGATTATACATGAATTCATAAGTGATTCTCTAGTAACGTTAAATAAAAAATATTATAGCGGGGTTTTCGTGCACATACAGACTCAATATTCTGAATACAACCAAACAGTTACTTAATATGTAGTAGGTAGTAGTAGTATATTTAGTTGCCTAAGTCGACTTGGTCAAAAGTAACAATAAGTGAATAAAATGAATCGATTTTATTTCACTGATTTCTTAAAACGTACATCATTACATATAAATAAAGAACTACCAATCATTTAGGGACTTAGACTATATGCAGATGTTGGTAGGTCAATGAAGTAAATATAAATAGTTTTGTATTTGATGTTTTAATTATCTTGAACATACGAGGCCCAAATATCTATATACATAAAAGCCATCAACTTTACGTTTACCCATGATTTTTTGTGGGATACGTGCTTATTATAATAGATTTACAGGTTACATCAACAATATAAGTTTATTACTCTGAACGCGAATAAAATATTGAAACTATGAACCACCCATAAAAATGTGATTTTTCACTGCAACATGTACGAATTGATCAAACTAAAGTGAGAAGTGAATTACGAAAACTAATTAGCAATCTATATATAATCAACGGACTCCACAGAAAATGAAGGAAAGGACAATTCACCAAAAGATGGAATAATGAATAATATACTACTAATAACAATGATAAAATAATAATAAATATCAAACTTATCTTCGAATAATACCCACTAGTTCGTAATGCGAATACAAATAACGGTAAGTACACATCTCGATATATGTTACTGCGGGAAAGCTGATACAAATGACAAAAACAAAACCGTGAGATGAACGAAAATTATCAAGTATCTTTTTTTCAGTTATTATTTATCTTCTTAAGACTATCTTTATTTAGCATAACCACTTAAGAATCAACTTAGAATAACGAAGTCATATATGAGACTTATAAGGAAATCCAAAGCATACTGGCTACAAACTAAAGAAATGTTTTATTCTAAATATTAGAATCAAAATTTAGTGACGCTTATTTAACTGATTGTAATTAACAATAGTTTGACTTTTGAAAAAAAAATTAGGGAAATGAAGGTGTCACATGATTAAAGAGATATTTTATGTGGGATACGCCGGTAGAAATGTTACTTCT